AAACCTATCCCATGTAGTTACCTTGTATTACCAGAACTTTCTTATGTAGGTACACTGTAAGTACATGCAAGTAAACGTAATGTAAAATAAAGTGCAACCGTGAATGATATATGAACAACTGTTACGAACTGTATTTTTGCATTCAAATGCAAATGTTTATTTTAAATTCGACTAATATTCCTTTTTTTTATTCACAATCTCCTCATCGCAGGCAGGCACAGCACAGCACTCATGTTTGTGTTTGTGTGTGCTGTCTGCGTCACTTATAGCACGTGCCCTATATCGTGTGCTACATCGAACATTTTTTCTATCGTTATCGATGACGGTGTACCATCGATAAATACCGATACCGTTTTGTCGCCCAGGCCTAATGAAAGACGATATAGCTAAAAAATGTATCAATGATATAATGTCCAACAGGACAGATGACGGAATGTATCATTTGCACATACTTGAGTCTTACAATTGTAAACATTCAAGTGTTCAATTCAGTACGTGCACCGCATCTGAGAGCGCACGACTACAGAATGAAGTTGGGTTGCGCCTTATTGCACGTAAACGGCCAAATACACACAAAAGTATGTTAGAATGCCCGTCTTGAGGAGTATTCACATATTCACTTGTCACTTAACTATTCTTATTTTATTACTGACGGTTTACTTGTCTTTTTTAGTTCAAATGAATTCAATTCAGATTTTGAAATCAAAGTTCTTTTTAAGGATCTTCCTCACGATATAAATATCACTCAACACCATTGTAAAACACAAATACACTGGGTGAGGAAACATTTAGATTGGATGATTGTAGTTTAAAAATGTCTAAAAAAAAAATACCCTAACTCTGCCCTCAAATTTAAAAAATCCCCCCATAAGAGCCACCTAAAGGGGGAATCCCATGCATTCTCCAAAATGAAATTCAGGCCCTGTACTTTTACTTTCAATACTTAAGTATGTTTAATATTTACGAGTGGATCGAGACACAGCCCAGATGATCACTAACCCCAATTACCTGATATTTTAGATCAGTAATTTGCAAATGTGCAGACATGCAACTAAACACAAAGCACAGCATCCAGGAACTAAAAAATTTGAAAAATCACCTGCAAAAATAATAATAATGACTGTTTCCAAATACTCTGTCTGTCATTGGTCAGTCAAACAGATAGTCCCGCCCCAAACTCACATGATTGGTTGAGTCATGAGTTGACATGTGTGGCTGCTCAAACAAACAGAACAGTGTTGCAAAATCATCACAATGACTGATGTACAGTGAGTTTAATTTAACAGTTAATGGTTAATATGATGGTTATTCTTGGCTTACGGCCCACCTGTAGTCCTCATCTTAGTTTCCCACACAGAACAGATGATATATGATC